ACTGATAGCTCACTTCTGATTATAAAAATAATACTTGCTTATTGTGAAAAAAAATTTTTTTTTGAGACAGAGTCTCACTCTATCACTCTAGGTGGAGTTCTGTGCATCATAGCTCACAGCAACCTCAAACTCTGGGGCTTAAGAGATCCTCTCGCCTCAGCTTCCTGAGTAGCTGAGCCTACGGGCACCCACCACAACGCCCTAAATACTTCCCTAATGCCCCTTCTCTGAATTTTGCCCATACATCTGGGGTCTCAACAGTCTAACCAAGCAACTCTAGAAAAACCTCTGTAAGCTGACCACCCGTGGGACTGTAACAAACTGGTCAATATACAGAGGTGGTCAACATAAGGAACTAGGCCTACTGTATATGTGGTGCATGCCTAGTCTATGAATATTAAGTCATCTTAAGGAGGTAGTCAATGTAGGGAGGTGGTCAACTATGGAAGTTCTACTGTATTTAATTCCATTCACTCTCTCAGCCTTTGTTTTTGAATGGATCTTCATCCCAAGAAAGCCCAGAGATGTCAAGAGCCCTCACCCCTGAGCCAAACACCTAGGAGCTCCTTGGATATTGCCACTGGCCCTGGACCTGTCCCCAGATCCTAGAAGCTCACAGGAATCACCAGCAGTGGAGTGAGGTCAGTATGTCTCCAGGAAGATCAAAGTCTACCACCACATAAGAGGTGGTGGTCCAGTCCCATTTCACATAAGCCTGATAGCCAGACCAATCTTTGGTCACTGATCAGTCCCAATTATGAGGAATCAAAAGGTTGCAATTACAACAGTGAAAAAAACAGAAACAATTGCTCTACCTCCACCCCCAGCAAATTTCTGGATGGACATGGGTAAGAATTAGAGGTGAATTCTGGGTGAGGGTAGAGCAATCCCAGCAGAACTGGGTGGGCAGGAAGAACCACAGCCTATTGTAGGCGTCCTCTAACTACGGCCCACGGGCCACATGCAGCCCACCTAGGACATTTATCCGGCCTGCCAGGTGTTTTTGCCACCGCTGCCTGTCCTGTTTAGCAGCCGACTTGTCCCAGGGCCCGCAGTCCAGCCCTCCAACGGTCTGAGGGACAGTGAACTGGCCCCTGTTTAAAAAGTTTGAGGACCCCTGGCCTATTGGGATCAACACCAATACAATGAGAATGGAAATTTGGATGACCACTGAAATATCAGAGAAGACGCCTAGGTCAATGCTGATAGAGTTAGAAAGGAATTTGGAGTGAAGCCCAAACAATTACAGAATAAAGATGATGCCTGTATTAGAGGGACAATGGGAACAGGTCCCTAGAAGCCAGGCTAAGGAAGATCTGTTGACCCTGGTTGAAGGACAGAGAGCACAAAGAAGTAGCTTTCATGAACATACTCTATCCTTCATTTCAGTCTTCGAAGGAGCAGAATCAAAATTCCCATGGCCACCTCCAAGTAGGTATGTAAATGGGGTCCCCCTCCTGTTTCATGCAAAGACCCTAGCCACAGACACCTCGAAATCCCCACAATCCCAAACGTTCGATTTAAAAAGGTACTGTTACTGGGGTCTTCTCTGGGTTTCCATGAAGTCCAGGATGGACTCTTAAGGGGACAGTATGTGAACACTAGAACACCAAGTCAACTCACTGCCCCCCAATAAGTCCTGCTTCTGAAGGACAGAGCCCAACTTGCCACTTTAACTTTGGCAAATCACTATCCTTTTCCTTCATTCTTCTCCCTTGTAATGGTGGAGGTTAAATTCAATGATGTTCAGGGTTCTTCCATCATTAGGAATATGTTTCTTTCTTTCTTTCTTTTTCTTTTTTTTTTTTTTTTTTTGTAGATATAGAGTCTCACTTTATTGCCCTCAGTATAGTGTCGTGGCGTCACACAGCTCACAGCAACCTCCAACTCCTGGGCTTAGACGATTCTCTTGCCTCAGCTTCCTGAGTAGCTGGGACTACAGGCGGCCACCACAACGCCCGGCTATTTTTTTGTTGCAATTTTGCCAGGGCCGGGTTTGAACCCACTACCCTCGGTGTATGGGGCTGGTGCCCTACCCACTGAGCCACAGGTGCCGCCCAGGAATATGTTTCCAGTATTCCAAAACAGTCCTTATACATGCTAATACTGATAGCTCACTTCTGATTATAAAAATAATACTTGCTTATTGTGAAAAAAAATTTTTTTTTGAGACAGAGTCTCACTCTATCACTCTAGGTGGAGTTCTGTGCATCATAGCTCACAGCAACCTCAAACTCTGGGGCTTAAGAGATCCTCTCGCCTCAGCTTCCTGAGTAGCTGAGCCTACGGGCACCCACCAGGTCATCCACCTACTGTGTGTTTGTTTTTGTGAGACAAAGTCTCACTCAGTTGCTTTGGGGTTGAGTACCATGGTGTCATATCTCATAGCAACCTCAAACTCTCAGGCTCAAAAGATTCTCTTTCCTCAGCCTCCCTAGTAGCTGAGACTACAGGCACCTGCCATGATGTCCAGCTATTCTTTTAGAGATGGGGTCTCGCTCTTGTTCAGGCTGGTCTCCAACTTCTGAGCTCAGGCAATCCACCGGCTTTGGCCTCCCAGAATGGTAGGATTATGGGCATGAGCCACTGTGCCCGGCCCCTGTTTTTTCTATTTTTAGTAGAGATGGGGTCTTGCTCTTACTCCGGCTGGTCTCTGAACTCCTGACCTCAAGGGATCCTCCCACCTTAGCCTCCCAAAATACGAGGATGATAGGCATGAGCCACTGCACCTGGCCAATTATACAAATTTTAGAAAAGTACAAAATACAAAAAAAGAAAAATATTTCATATGATCCCATTACCCAGAAGAAACCATTATTAACCTTTTGGAAACTTTTCTTAGTAGCTTTGTCTTGTTGTTGTTGGGCTTTTTTTTTTTTTCATTCTTATAATTTTTCTTTTTTTGAGATAGAGTGTTGCTCTGTCAACCTAGGCTAGAGTGCAGGCTGGAATGCAGCAGCATAATCATAGCTCAATGGAGCCTTGAACACCTACGCTCAAGTGATCCTTCTACCTTAACATCCCAAGTAGCTGTGACTACAGGTGCACACCACCATGCCTGGGTATTTTTTTTTTTTTAAGAGATAGGGTCTTACTGTGTTGCCTGGTTTTTGAACTACCAACCTCAAGCGATCCTCCTGCCTTGGCCTTTCAAAGTGCTAGGATTACAGGCATACAATTGTCTTTTTTTTTTTAATTGGGATCATACAGCCTTTACAATGTTGTTTTCTGTCATTATGCCATGAGCATTTTCCCAAGTCCTCAAATATTCTTCAAAAATATAATTTTAATGACTGCATAATACTTCAAGAGTATATACCATGACTATTGAGCATTTAAGTTGGTTTTCTAGTATAAATAACACTACCGTGAACATCCTAGCCTAGTGCTGTAGTTGCCTACATCTCTATTTCCTTAGGATTAATTCTTGTAGGTAGAATTACAGGGTCATCAAACTGATATGTTAAAAGGGTCTTGACATGTTAATTTCCAGGAAAACACAACAAACCTATTGATTTTCCTAAGCCAAGTGAGAGGTAAAGTTCTAAAAGATCTAGAGTTAGAATGCAAGAGAGTGATTTCCTGTCTCCTCCTCTCCCCCAAGTTAACTGTCCAACAAAAAAGGGAACAGAATTCCAAGTCAGAAAACATGGGTCTGCAGCCTAGCCTCTCCCCGGCTTTGGGAACCTGAAACAAGCCTCCTTCTCTTCACTTGTAGAATGGGCATGATCAGCTATCTCTGCTCTGCTTATTACCTAGAGCAATTTCCTGCTCATTGAAGAGGTGTTTGTGGCTTGGCACCCATAGCTCAGTGGTCAGGGCACCCACCACATACAGGGCTAGTGGGTTCGAACCCAGCCAGGACCCGCTAAACAGCAATGACAACTACAACAACAACAACAAAAATAGCCGGGCATTGTGGCAGGCGCCTGTAGTCCCAGCTACTTGGGAGGATGAGGTAAGAGAATCGATTGAGCCCAAGAGTTTGAGGCTGCTATAAGCTGTGATGCCACGCACTCTACTGAGGGTGACATACTGAAACTCCGTCTCAAAAAAAGAAAAAAAGAAAAGGCATTTGTGAAAATTCTTTGTAAATGTATTAGGATTATCCTTCTCATACCTAGGGGACTGAGAAAGTGGGGAGTTATTTGTCAAAGCTCAAGAGCTTCCCTTCCTGACTTTTAACCATCAGAATGCCCAGGACAAGTGCCACTGGCTCAGAGGGAGACAGAAAAGCAGCTTCCTGAAGGGAATCTGTAGGGTCTGAGCGTCCAGGAGGACCCAGCAGGGTCTTCCAAAGGTCAAGCACAGCGATGGAAGCTGTGATGTCCAGGGCTGGAGCTAGGACCACCCTCACAGTCCTGGGTGGATCTGGAGATGGACAGAGAAAGGACCTTCATGGTAAAAGTCCCTCTGTTCCAAGGCCTCCAGCTCCTCCCTCCTTTCTAGTGTTCTGACTGGATGTCTGGTCTTTGGGGGAAAATCAAGCTGATTCAAGGGATTCAAAAATCGCAGAGGACCCCAGAACTATCAGCTCTGACCCCCTCTTCGGGGCTGCTGCCAGTCAGGCCTGGATTGTTAAGACTCTCCAGTCGATATTGCAACTAGTGCTTCCAGGCTGTTCTCTCCAGCCGCAGGGGGTGAAAAAAGACCGTGGCGCTTCCTTGAGAAGCCCAGCTGGACGACCTGAGCTTCCCTCCACACTCCCTACTCCCTTACCCACTCGGCAAATGTCCTTCCCCACCTCTTCAGGCTCGCCTAACGTCAGGGCCTGAGGGGACTCCAGTGACGTTCCCAGCGCTGGCAGGGAGAGCTGCGCAGACCCCAGGGACGCCATCCTTCTCGGTTTCCATCACCATCACCGGCAGCCTCGACCCCAGCCCACCCCCACGGCCAGAGATGCATCTCCGGTCCCCAAATACGCACAACAGGTGGTATTTGCCGGTCCTCACCAACCACACCTCCCTGCCCCTCCACCTGCGCCCGGCCACAAAGCCTACCTTTAAGGTTCTGCGGGTGGCCCCGCGGTGCCCGGCTCGGGTTTCCTCGGGGCAGAGAGGGGATACTGGAGAAGTTGTTACCCATGGCATCAGGCCCCAAAGGGATCTGTGCTCGCGGAGGCCGGCGAGGCCGGGCGGGAGCGGAGGTCTTCTGTGCGGGGTGTGCGCGCACGGGTGCGTGCCGCCAGGGGAGGGCCCTGGTGGGGCTGCGGCCGGGGGCGGGCGGGCCGCTGCTCTCTTCCCGGGCTGTGGGCTTCGCGGTACTAGGCGGGTCCTGCCCGCCGCAGGTGTCCTAGCACGAGCCGGCTACCTGCCTCCCATGCCCCGCAGCGGGGGCGGGGGCCGCAAGCGGGCCCCTGGGCCGGGGCCGGTGGCGCCCGGGGCTCCCCTCCTCCTCCCGCTGGCGCTTGGGTTCCGGCTGGTGGTGGGCGGCGCGGCGGCTCTGGCGCACTCCCCGGGGGCCATAGAGTCAGGGCTCCAGGCGCGGGCGCTCAGCGGCTCGGCCTGCCCGGAGGGTCGGTGGTTCAGCGACCGACTCGGTCCCCGCCCGCGGGGACGGCCGCTGCGGTGACGTGCGTGGCGCCTTCCCGCTGGCGGGTCTGCATGCAGCGGGGCCCCGTGGAGCGCCGGGCGTGCTGGGTGTTGCCGCCGAGGCTGGTCTCCCCGGGCCGCCGCGCTCTCACCCCGCGCCGGGTCCCAACCGCCGCCCCCGCCGTCGCCAGGATTCCCTCGCTCTGGTTGTTATGGTGACAGCTGCGCCGGTGAATGAGCGTCTTGGTGACACGCGCGCGACCGCTCGACCAGATGTGGCCCCGGGACGCGCCGCGTTCCCTCCTATCACCAAGCTCTCCGCGCCGCTGGGGGCCCGGGCGCGGCGCGGCTGGGGGTAAGATATCGAGCAAAGATTGGGGTCCCAGAGGTTGGCCTTATTCCTCTCACGCAGCAGTGGAACTTGAACTTGAAAACAAGAGGAACAGTTAAGGCACCCTGGGTGTCAGGGGCGAGGTGAAAATACTCTAAATTATAGTTTTCCCAGCACCAGGTACAGGGCCTGGCGCACAGTGAAAATCTGAAGAAAAAAGAAATGAGCGAGTGGATTATTGAATAAAGGAATTGAGATTAGGGACCCCAGCACCTGACCCTCCACCCCCATTCGGATCTCAGGCGGCCCCAGGGGAAGTGCACAGATCCAAGCAGCCCAGTACCGGTACCGGGCAGAGAGCAGTGGGGCCTCTGGGTGCATGCAGACCAGACCACAAGACTTGGTCTCTGGTGGAGCCAAAGGAACAGATTTGAGGAAAAAATGATCAGAGAACCACCAGTTTTGAACTAAGTGGTTCTGTCAGCTGGAAGGGCCCGCTCTTGGTGGGAGGTACAGACTCCAGCAGTCTAAGAAGGCTTCCTGGAGGAAGAGGACTTAAGAAAGTGCCCAGTTCACATGACTGACTCTTCCCTCAGTGTACTCAGCACTGCTGCCAAGAGCCCAGTGAGAAGGGAAAATGAAGTCATTCTCCCCCACCTAGACCTGGAGTATCTCTTTTCCCCAGGATTAGAAGATACTCCAAGATCTCTCCCAAACCCTCCCCAAGAAAATCAACCCCCAACTCCTCTAGGTCATCTCTAGCTCCCTGATCTGCCTTCAGAAACTGATCCAAAGTCTCGTGAAGATATGGGCAGGGAACGGTCATCTCATTGCCTACATCTCCATGTGACATCTCCTCATTATTCAGGCACAGTTCATGTCCTGATCTTCCCTGACCATCCCAACTAAAGAACCCCCACCACTCTCAGGCACTTTGCATACCATTACTGTGTTTTGTTTTCTTCATAGCTTTTATATGCAATCAGTTTAAAAGTAGCCTTTCCAGCTCAGAGCCTGTAGCTCAAGTGGCTAAGGTGCCAGCCACATACACCTGAGCTGGCAGGTTGGAATCCAGCCCTGGCCCGCCAAACAACAATGACAGCTGCAACCAAAAAATAGCCGGACATTGTGGTGGGCGCCTATAGTCCCAGCTACTTGGGAGGCAGAGGCAGGAGACTCGCTTGAGCCCAGGAGTTGGAGGTTGCTGTGAGCTATGATGGCACAGCACTCTACCCAGGGTGACAGCTTGAGGCTCTGTCTCAAAATAAATAAATAAAATAAGAGTAGCCTTTCCACACTAGAACGTAAGCTCTGTGAGGGGGAGAGCATAGGTCCATCATGCCTACCATGGTATCCCTGGCCCCTAAGAGAGTGCCTGGCACATGGCAGGGGAAGTCAAGGTAGAGCGAATGAGCCCCCCTGCCAGAAAAACTCCATGAAGTCCTCTGTTTCCTTCCCTGCCCTCTGCCCCACCCCATTTCATGCATCACACCCTTAAATGTCTAGGACTCCAGGAGAGATAGAAATATCTGTGACAGCTGCTCTCTGGAGTCTGGAGGGACAGACAGCCCCAGCCTCAGGCTCCAGCTTCTCAGATGCTCAGGATTACGTGCCCAGCCAGCTGAAGATGGACTTGGCAGGTTGGGGACTGCTGTCTTATTTATGGGCAGTGTCTTCCCAAGGCGCACTCTCAGCTGATGACTCACACATCATAAATTCATGGACTCTGAGCAGCATCACACTCACACATTTGCACACACACCTCTACCCCATTTAACACTGATTTGGACACAGGCACACACCCACACCCACACTCACTTATACATGTATACTCCCTGAAATCTGCCAGAATGAAGTCACGGTGAGCAGCTGCTGGGATCAGGCCTTTCACGAGTCAGAATAAATATGAGGACTCTGTATAGATGAGACAGATTCCCCTTGAGTGTGTGTGAAGTGCAAGGTCCTTGCTAGGATTTGCAGATGGTGGCTGCAGGGAGGCTCGAGGCCCTTCCTAGTGTAATCCCACCTCTCCTGACTTCTGGAAAGAGTATCCAAGGCAGGGGTAGGAGGATGGGATGGGACAGTGAGGCCCGAAAGGAAGAGGACTGCAGGGATGTCACAGTCTCCATGCGACCTAGGGCTGTAGGCAAAGGAAAGGAGGGAAGTGAGGGCCTAAGTCCAGAGGCAGCCTGACCCTAGGGCATCCCAGAGGGAGATGAGAGGCATCAGGGACCTGAGGGCAGGACAGATGGTGGGAGTATCAACATTCCTGGGTCGGATGAGGCGAGGAGGGCATCCTTGGTGCAAAATTGAAGGAGGTGCTCACGCTCAAGGTCATGCAGATAACAACCTTTCATTTGCATAAGCCTGAGAGTGAGGGCCTCTTGCATTTTGCACCCTGGGTTCCCCCACCCCCCAGCCTGACCCTAGTCCTTCTGGAGAGTTCTGTATTGGGAGAGGGAGACACCACTGTTAAGTGTCAACTATGTCTCTGGCAGGGAGGGCCCTAGTGGAAGTGAGAGTGGCTGAAAGTGACCCTTCTGAAGGGTCCTGTGCTTCAGAAACCTTTCTCTGGCAGGTACTGTGATTAGACCTAGTTCAGAGGGTCAAAGAATGCCAGCACCCTCCTCTTCCTGGACCTTGGGCAGAACCTTCAGGCTCCTGGAGGCCAAGTCTGTGGGGCATCTTTAAGCCATCTTTACCAAGGCAGCTGCCAGGTGGCAGAGAAGTAGCCTCTGTCCAGGTTGGCTGTGGGCCCCAGGGCCTTCCTGGCCCCATCCTAGATGAGAGGAGGAACAAAGAACCTGCAGGATGGAGTCACTCTTAGTGGCTTCAGTAAAAGCTATTATTATCCACAAGGTGGTGCTCCAGCACCTGTCACCACACCTGTCACCACAGCAAACTGTCCACCGCCACAGGCAGTGTGGATTCTGAGTGCGGTGCCTGAAGGTTGGGTATCCCTACACTTGTGTTCTTGTGTGTGCCTGGGGTCAGGGCACTGTGATTGCTCACACCAGCCTGTAGGAGAGGGGGGACCCCAGCAGGGACTTCCCCCACCTTCTCCTCTCCCTCCTGTTGTTTCTCCTCTATGTCAACTCGTCCTCTTCACTTTCTCTCTGTGCTGTCTCTCTGCCCCTCTGCTGCTCCTGCCCTGTTCACCTCCCTCTATCGCTTCTTTCTCACTCTCTACAGCTCCCAGATCAGTTCAAATCTTAAAGAGTCACCACGTTGATAAAAATAATAAAATATTTCACTGAGAATCACTTTCTTCCTCCCTCCCTGAGGGAAGGATCACTTTCTTCTTCCCTTCCCTCCCTGCATGCTGATTTCAGAACCAACCACAGGGATAACCCCCACCACGCAAGCAAGCGTGGGGTTCATCTAGCTCAAGCTGTGCCCCCCTGAACTTAAGACCACCCTAGTCAACGGTATGACATCTTCCTCCCTATTAAGAAACTAACCTTAAAATAGGAAACAATCACAACCGTTCCTAGCTGGGATAAGTGGTGCCTCATCCATTCCTAAGGCCCAGCTGTCAGAAAAGAGGGTGGAGGACTGGGGAGGTCCTGTCTGAACTACAGGAGGTGCCTGGACATGTTGAAAGGGGATCCCCAGGTTCCTGATACATTCATCAATATTTATTAAATGAATCTGTGAATCAGGACACGATGGATTGACCTGCAAATACAGTCACCCAACCAGCCCCAGAGGGACCAGCCTGTGTTGTCCTCCTCTATGGTACATTACCCACTAAGTTTCTCTGAGGCCAGGCCTACCCTCTAAAGGATGGAAGTCTGTGCTACCCCTTCTGCCATGGAATGGAACCCAAACTGCCTTGTTCACAGGTACTTTGGGATTCAACCTCACAGTTTGCCTAGTGACCATTTATTGAGTACCACCTGTGTGCCTGGCACTGAGAGAGATGCAGTTTCCTTACCAGCACTGTGGAGCAACCTGCCTTGTGCTTCAGTGCACTCCAGTCCCAGCTCCCCAGCTCCCAGGCCTAATTTCAGAGCTGAATACACAGTAGGTCTCACTGAATACTGACTGCATCTCTGGACAGTTGGCTCTGAGCTCCAAACCTTTTTGATCATGTACCCCTAACAGTAATAAATGTTTACACATGTACCCTAATATATGTATATGCATTTATTTGAAATTTCTACATATGTACTATTATATTCACATTGCATATATTATGAAACATACACTACATAAACAATGAAATTTAAAAATGAATTGGCTGGGCATGGTGACCCACACCTATAATGCCAACACTTTAGGAGGCTGAGGCAGAAGGATTTCTTGAAGCCAGGAGTTCGAGACCAGCCTGGGCAATACAGCAAGAACCTGTCTCTACAAAACGATTTTAAAATTGGCAGGTGGGATGGCACATGCCTATAGTCCAAGCTGAGGTGGGAGGATTGCTTGAGCCTAGGAGTTAGGTTACAGTGAGCTACGATGATGTCACTGCACTCCAGTCTGAGCAACAGACTGAGGGGTACACACAATCTAAACTAAAAGTTCTCAAATTTAAATATGCATTAGAATCCTCCATGAGTGATTAGGGAGGGGGATGAAAGTCATTAAAATGCAGACTTCCAGGCCTTACCTCAAGTGCTTCTGATTCT